CAGGTGCATTGCAGGCCTTTTAGAAAGGATTAAGCTCTGTTCTTGAAGGTCCCTAAGTCGTATCGTTCAATAATAATAGGCCAATTTGCTGTCTCTTCCAAGTTCTTTTAGTAGAAATAGCGCATAGACATTTACATTTATCCTCAATTAAAAACCGTCCCTGAGGACTAAGATGGAATGCCTCGTTTCTTGTAAAAAAAGGCCCTCGTATCTCTATACTCACCATGAGAAATACAGTAGTATCGAGCTGCTATTTTACCCATTCGTGCTTCAACCATAATAAAGCTGCAGCGTTCCAAGTGATCACGAACAGCACGGTATTTGATATGTCGACGCTGAGGTTTCCGATACTGGCTGAGGCAACAAGGGGAGTGTCTTCAAACTGAGAAAATCCGACAAAGGGTTTCCCTTAGCGATAAACGCGCAAACTTGTGTGTTAAACTGGAGTAGATTTAGTCTCCCCAATCCATAAGACGTCCAGCAGAATGAGAAATCGTGGCTTTTTGCAAAATCTCTTGCCAGGAAAAATAAACACCTTCCTTTCGGTGTAAGAGCTTCCGAAATGTAAATCTGTTGTTTATGTGTGCTATCAAAACCCAAAAAAAGAAGTATTTAATTTTTATTTTTCATAGTAAGTTTTTTAAGGTTTTGTATAATGCTTTCTTTTGTCTAAACTGAGGTGAATTCGTCTGCTATTGGTTTTAGCATACGATATATATCTGTAATATATCCGCTTTCTATTTGTAAATTTAGTATGTTACCAATTTTGTTACCGTATTTGAGAGTTCATGCTTGTTCTCGCTTTGAATTTTCGGTATATTTCTAATTTCTACCTTAGTTGAACAAAAAGCTTTTTCTAAGTTTTCTATTTTATTTTCAGGCTGTTTTATGTAAGTTATATATTCTTTTCGTTCTTTTCTGAAGTCTTCCAACTCCTTCTCAATTTCATCATACTTATGAGACAGTGTTCGAATTGAGAGTTGTATTGTATTATTTTGTGATTTTATTTCGGATAGCGAATACTCCAATTTTTGTAATTTATTTGTTTGTTCGGATGCAAAACTAGAAAACAAAGTACCCACCTCTTCCATAAAAATATGAAACCCATTTTCACGTTTTCTCTTTAAACGTCCAATGTTTACGCTGCTGTTGTTATCTTTATTTTGAAGTTCAGATACACTTCCACCTATGTTTTCTGAATCTGTCTCGGAAACATTGTTTTTTTTTTTTGGTGGAGTGCGTTTCAAAGGTATTATTTTATTATAAGTATAACCGGTTAAGAACAAGTACTATAATTGGTTGTAAATAATTATTAATACAAGATGGTGGGTAGTTTATTGTACCAGGAGAAGCAAGCATAAGCTAACACCTTAAAAGAAATACAGTAGTCAGGCGAAACTGGTTGCAAATTGAATTATACCAGGAGCACAGTTACGTACCTCCCACGTATACGTAGTGCGTGATGTTCTATGTGCGTACGCCATTGATTCGTCTAGCTTCGGATCTCTCTCGTGCTCAGTGCGCAGACGAAGATGGGCGATTAAACGGGTGTCACTAGATCTATAGATGTGAGGCTGAAGAGACGAACAAGGAGGAGCTGGTTGAAAATAAGCTCACTTCGTTTTTATGCACTCCTATTTTTGAGCCACAATTTTATGGACAGTAACTTTATTAAAATTAAATTTAAAGGATAAAAAAATAAATATAGATAAAACAGATTGTTATGAATACATCTGTACACCTCAGAGGCCCGCGCGGAAGAAGAATGAATAGCCCATAACCGGGAGGGAAGGTTTTGGAGTGGCAGTCTCGTGTGTTTAGTGGTGGCGGCACAAAGATCCAATACCTCAATTAATCCCGTTGGTGTGGTTTGATCGTCTCAAATCTAATCAGGGGAAATGCCTGAAAAACCTTGCAGGTTTCAATAGACGGCAAGTTATACTGGTAATACGGCACGCAATTTTAATTTAGTTTCTCATAAACGACTAAAAGAGAAAAACACAAGCTATAAACCGATTAAAAAGGGAAATTAAAAGATACCCATCGCATTAATCCTCCGACTTGACGGCTCCGTGGCGCAGTGGCTTACAACCCAATTGTTAACCCCCCCCCAAGTAATAAAAAAAAAAAGAAATCCATTACCCTACATTTTCAATCGAAAGCGTTTTATCTCAATTGCGTTTAGTATTAGCTTGCCAATTCGCCAAGTAATAAAATAATGAAACCGTAGCCATAATTAACTACTCTCACAATATCAACCCATGTGTCTAATAAGAGCGAAATGAAACAAGACGTGAATACCAACAACTTCCTGATAATAATTTTAATATTAATGTTACGAGCTTGAGGTTCGTGACAATAAAAATTGCCGATAAAATTACCTAAATTAACACTTTAATTTTCTTTACACAATTTAAAACTTAAAACACTAATAATTAATCATACTAATTCACTTTATTTCGCTCCGAAGCTTCGCTTGTCTCGCCGAATTCGATACTTCCCCGATCGCACCTTGCAGCACCTATAAATACACATTAGTAACGCGCACCAATCGACAAAGCGCCGAAAGTTCGATAGTCAGCTTCCAGAAGCTTAGTTCTTCGTTTCCACAGCAGATGGCGCTGTTGGTTGAAATATTACTGGTGTCATTTTCTGGAAAGCTCTCCCCTCGCTCCGTTACCCGACACTAGATGGCGCTAGTGCTAGATGTCAACTTAGCCGCCAACATTAATAAAAACTACGGTTATTATATGGCAATCTATGTACAGCATATCTTTGTACAGCAGGTGTTTGTTTTAATATGCTGTAATGAATAAATGATTGAATGAATAAACATTTATTTTTAAATTTAAGCAGCTTTAAAGCAGCTGGTATGAAGTGACTGGAATCCCTGTATACACTGCTTTAAAAAAATTAATACGATATTTTAGAACATATAACAAAATGCGAGTAGATACTGTACCTCGGGATTATGCAGAAATTAAAAACATAGTATACTAGTGCAATGTAAATTGGATAAACATACAGCTATGATTATTGAATGGCACTGCATCAGCACAACTTGTAATACAAATAGTGTACACAGTTCATCTTGGAGTATCAACTAAACTTTCCAATCTCTAATTTGTTCGTAATTTGACTATGCCGATGTTTGTCTCACTGTTTCTAAGTAGCCGCTGAACAGGTTGTAAAAGTTACTTAACAACCGCCTAACGTTCATCTTTGGCCTGCGCGAATACGATCACGTATCAGAATTTCGCTCCCAGTCAAAGTGGTTGACTATACGCCAGTTCACTTTGCATTCAATTCTTAATGATTCCTCTTCACCCCTTTATCTATGTGAAAGATTCCAATACCGTAATGAAACTCATTCTTTCAATCGCTGTTCTTCACACAGTTGAGTACTGTCTACTCCTCTCCACTATTGTGGCCCTGACACGGATTCCGCCGCACTAGAGGAGACAAAGAAAGAAGAAAAAGCAGCAGCATCCTCCTCAGGCTGTTACTTCTACCCAGACCGCAGCGATTCAGATAGCCTCACAAGCGCAGGTTCCACAAAGGAAACCAGGATCACCAACGTAGGTAAAGCCTTGGAAAGGGCATTGTCAGAAAATAGAACACGCTCTACGAAATAGATTGTACTCCACCCAAAGAAGAGATACCAAAGCCCGGCCGACACTAGAGTAAACAACATCTAGACAACCAACAGAGCGAAAATCAAATTGATTTGGTGAAAGTACGAAATTAAATAATAGTAATAATTTTAAAAAATTCTAAACTATTACATCACGCGTTCTAGTATTTTAAGCAATGATCTTAATAAAAATGTTAGGAGATGGAAATCAGTCTTCCTAATAACAACATAAAACAACAGTAAAAACTATGGTTGCCACATGTGAGGCAATCTATAGGGGCGGCCTATGTTCAGCAATAGACTCTTATAGGCTGTAATGGTAACAGTATTCAAAATAATTAATAACTGGCAGTTCTACGTAAAACATGCTGATGTTAATACAGATTAATAATAATAATAATAATTTATTTGACTCTCCATTGACAGGTTATACTTAAAATCCCAAAATTACAAAGTAAAATTTAAAAAGTAAAATTTAAAAAGCGACAGTAGCCTAATGGCAGGGCTCGGACCGCGAACTCAAAAGTCGTGGTTTCGAATCCGCCATTCGACTACTGTCGTGAACCACTCCTAACATAAGCGTTTTAAGCTTACCAGGAGTGGTGAAAGGAATATTAGTAATGTTAATTAATAGGATTACTAATATTTAAAAAAAAAAACTAATATTTAAAAAAAGGAGTTGGCGTTAACGGCCACACTAGTATAGACTGTGTTACAGCCGTCAGCGTCTTCCACCCTGAGTAGTGCAATACAAATACAGTAAAAAATTATAAATTATTTCACTATATACAACAATACACAAACATGTTAAGTTAAATAAAAAATAAAATAAAAAATGAAGAGAAAACTTTCTAATTACCACAAACCTGTGCGTGTTAGTGTGTGTTTTTGTGTGAATGTGTGTGTTGGAACTTAAATACTGATTAACTTCTTTGTTTCCGGGTAATTAAGGCTTAGCAACCTATTTAGAATTCTATCTTTACATTTATTAGAGGACAATGGATAAATATTGTTTGTTTTATTTGCTACATTATATAAATGATTCCTAGGGACATAATATTGACGACGTGCTAAAGCAGTTCTATGAGAAACCATGTCACAAATTTTATTTTTGTTACGTTTTAAATTAGGATGCTGTTATTATTATTATTATTTGAGTGTGAGTCTGTTTGTAAGTTTTATAAAAAGAAAATTAAGAAATATAAAATGAAGAAATCAGGTTTAATTTAAAACCTTTATTATTTATTTAAGTTTAATTGGCATATTTCATCGACTTTATCGAAGTTAAACTTAGAGTAACAACATACTTAAATTAAACTTTGAACACCTGACTGCTGTCAATATTTCCTTTAAAAACGTCCTCATTTTATGCTATGATATTATTATCAAAACCGTAATTATCTTCTCCTTTCGTACTTATACCCCGTCTTCGTCTTTCTTTTAGTTTTGCACTTCTCTCTACTTGTTCTATCGTATCTATCAGTGGCAAGTCTTTTGTCTCAGGTGTTTGAGTCAAGAGAGCTCCAGAGATAATGGCAAAACCGCCAAAAAACATCGATGGAAGGATGACGGAGACGGTGTTCTGAAATGAAAAATTTATTTTGTAAAGAAACAGTAGTGGGTAGTCGTTGTAGAACAAACAGTCCACCTCATAGTCAATACATACATAATAGAACGGGGGGTGGACGGAGCCCGTGTAGCCACTAACATGTTAATTCACACATATAAATGTCAACACAATCAATCGTTTCCAATTTTCGTGTGAAACGTCCTTGCAGGCAAATTATTTAAAAAAAGGCAAATTGTGCAATAATTACGTGTCGAAAGAACAGCGGGAAATGGAATTTAAATAAAGGAGACATATTCTACAACCAGTAAGTCGAAACTATTTGTATTTTGTGAATAAATTTATGTGTCAAAAACATTAAATCAAAAGTCTAAAATGAGTTTGTAGTAGTGATAACTGATAATACGACGTAATTGCTTGTATACACATACTGCTCCCGGCGACGCAAATCTTCCTACAAAGTAAGGTTGACAGCCATTCTATTGTGTATTATAGTATTCTATGGTCCACCTAATGGCACGTAAAAGCTGGTCCATCTACATCTACATATTATATCCTCTATTAAGTATTGAAATGCGGTTGCCTTGCTACCCCTGGAGACTAAGATCGAATGTCTCTTTATCCGTAAAAACGATCTCCGATCCCAGTGCTGCTGTGTTTTGTATGTTCATGCTATTTGTACTAAGTTAGTTTGCTTTTTTTCCTGGTCGAATCTTCACATATTATTTTACTTTCGTTCATGTTGCAGCTATATATATAATACATTGCAGCGTGGCTTACTTTGAGGTAAATACACGTAATACTATATAAGAATTTATCCTTTAAATTTTCAATTCCACGATGCACGAGGCTGTTGTCGACTTACTAAATTCAACAAAAATACGATAACCGTACTTTATTGCCCAAGGTTCACTGTCCGGTAATATCATTGCGAGGGCTACCTGCCTAACTTAGTTACTTTACTTATATATGGAAAACACTTTGTAAAGACTTTACTTCTGGCACATGAACAGGGGACTTTTAAATAAAAGATCTATTCCGTGGTAGCTCATATGTTTAACGCTCGCTGTAAATATCTCAGTACGCCAGTAACCCGGGTTCGATCCCCGCCGACACTAATGAAATTGTTAATTGCAATTTTAAGTGCTGATTTACCACGTGCTCGGCGGTGAAGGAAAACATCGTGAGGAGACATGCATGTCTGGGGAATAAGAAAAAATATTTCGAAGACATGTGAAGTTCACCAACAAGCATTATCACCGCGGCGGACAATTCCTTGCCCTAAAACTTTCCCAGGAATGAAGGGAGGACTGTCCCCAGCAGTGGAAAGTATATAGGCTGTAACTTTACTTTACTTCAAGCAAACTAAATTTCATATTAAAAAAATTAGGTTATGCCCAGTATGCAAAATGGAAATATGAAGCTCTTATTAAACGTTGGGATATTGTATGATAAGGTAATAAAATGAAATAGGTAGACTAACCAGAATTGGTGTTAAAGGAGCAAACATATTGCCAGTACTGGATGCCAACGCGCATACACCGAGTAAGGTACCCCTAACGCTGGTAGGGAACAGTTCCATTGTATATGTGATAACTCCAGTGTAGCATATGGACACCAGCAGCTTGCCGAATAGAAAGGAGGATATTTTGAGCCACGTGTATTCTGAAATTGAAACATTTACGGTTGCAATGGTCACCCAGAGTAGACATTTTCGCAATAAACAAATAATTACTGATAAATTTACTATATTAGCTGTAAATTTTATGTGAATTCAAATGCATTTTAATAGTCTGTAAAATGTATGTAAAGGCAAAATAGTGTTTATTTTATATTATTATGTTGTATATTATATATCTGTCTTTTATGTAATAACTAGCGACCTGCCACAGCTTCGCATGAGTGATTTCTACATCTCTAAAACAGCGCCACCTACCGGGTCCAAGCGTAAATCTAAATGTAAGGACCCGTTAACATAGACAAAAATTTTCGTGAAAACCGGTCGAGACGTTTTTGAGTTTTAGCTAGACTAATGAACAGCAATTTTTTTTATAATATACTTACTCGAGTCATAAGATCTGTCAAAACCTTATTGTTGCGCGCCTAAGTTGACGTCATGTACCCGGCACTAGCACCATCTAGTGTCGGAGACGAGAGCGAGGAGGGCTTCCTAGAAAATGTCAATCTTGACTTTCGACCAACAGCGCCATCTAGGATCGAATTGAAGAACTAAGCTTTCTAGAAGCCCTACACTCGAACTTTCTGCGCCTGGTCGGTTGGCGCGCGTATTTACTTGAATATTCTGGACGTTTCGGTGAAAAATGTGTATTTAAAGGCGCTGCAAGACGCGGTCGGGGCAGTATTGAATTAAGCTTCGGAGCGGAATAAAGTGAATCATATATATATATATATATATATATAAACACTCACGCTTGTCACCCGGAGGGGTAGGCAGAGACTACAGACTTCCATTTGGCACGATCCTGACACACCTCTCTTGCCTCCTTCACATCCATACACCTACGCATACATGCTCGTCGGTTAAGGGTACTGCTAATTTGGCCTGTTTTCAATAAAACGCCAATTTGGTCAATAAATTTTCGCCTAGGACGTCTCTTTCCGACTCTGCCATTCACTTCTGCACCATAAATTTTCTTTGTCACTCTTTCCTCATTCATTCTTTCCACATGACCAAACCACCGAAGCATTCCTTTCTTAATCCTGGTCACAACATCATCTTGCAAACCACACTCTTCTCTTATTACACAATTTCTTACCCTGTCATTCAGATTCAGCCCTAACATACTCCTTAACGACCGCATTTCTACTGCGTTTATTCTACTCTCGTGCTTCTTCTCCTTTTAAAGTGAATCAGTGTGATTAATTATTAGTGTTTTAAGTTTAATTAGTGTAAAGTGAATTAAAGTGTTAATTTTGGTAATTCAATCGGCAGTTTTTATTGTCACGAACCTCAAGCTCGTAACATTATTATTTAAAAATTTTGAATACTGGTTAAATGAACTTCACCAATTTTAAAAATATAACGTTTGCGCTTGCTGAAAATAAAAAAAATATTAATTTACATTCATTTTTAAATATGGAGTGGTCGAAGAAAGAAGATAAAGTAGCGGTGCGTCACCTTGGTTACGCGCCAAGAAAAATTTAAAATAGCCCTACGATTTGATTATCGCACTATCAAACGATTCACTGAAGATTCAAGCTTCGAAGATCGTTAGAGGAACGGCCGACGTCGTACAGTTAGGACATCCGCGATCATCAAAGCAGTGAAGGCGCGAATCAAACGAAATCCTGTTCGTAAGGAAAAAATCTTAGCTCTTCAGATAGGCCTAAGTAGAACCACGGCCAAAAGAGTGATCAATGAAGACCTAAGATTACCTATCGTAACAAGACCGTACATTTTTGTGCGAGCGTTATAAAAAAATAGGCTGGATAGATCCCTTTGATACGGCAGTACGCGGGAAAACAATACACAACACACAACAATGTTTTCGGATGAAATTTTTTTTAACATCAAAGAAACTTATAATAAACAAGATAATAAGATGTATGCCCACAGCAATGAAGAAGCCAGCACGCGTATTCCGTTCGTTCGGTTCAAGGAGCACATTATCCTTCGTCACACATTGTTTGGCTCGGAGTCTCATATTCAGGCTTAACTGAGGTGTTATTATGTGAAAAAAAGGTTTAAAAACCAGTGCCGAGGTGTACCAAAATACCGGCTAACAAACATAGTGGAACCTCTTTCTCAAACAATGTTCAAAAACAGACATTGGATATTCTAACACAACTATGCACCAGCTCATAGGGCACGAAGCACGCAGAACTGCTTGACCGCCGATAGAATTGGATTTATCGGACATCAAGACTGGCGCTCTTCTAGTCCAGATTTAAGCCCACTGGATTATAAGATATGGCAACAATTGGAGGAGAAAGTCTGCGCTAAACTTCAACAGAATTTGGAATCTCTCTGAGCATATTTGGCTAAAACAGAGGCAGAAATAGGTATGAGTCTGGTGCGTGCTGCGATTGATGATTGACCGCGTCGATTAAGGGCATGTATTCAAAATAGGGTAGGGCACTTTGAATAAAGTAAATAAAATTGTATTCTAAATTAAATTACCTTTCAATTCATATATAATTTCTAAAATATAAAAAATTTTTGACAGAACTTATGACCTGACTAAGTATATAGAAATAACAATGTGCATTTGAAACTGCAAAACAACTTGCTACAAACTTAAAAAAATATACGGTCGAAACTTAAAAAAAGGATCACGGTCACTAAGGAACCACTAGTTTTTAAATAATATACACATGTTTAAGAGGGGGAGAGAGTAAGAGCGTTAGTTCGACACAGCCCTACTTACTTAGGGGAAACTTAGGAAAATTTTACAGTACAAATGTAATTTGCCTCAATGTTCTTTTTTTCAAATAGTGAATTTTAAGCTATGATGATAGTGGCATGGCAGTTATCAGTAGAACAATAGCTAGTATTTAAACCCACATTCAAGATTTTTGCAATTGACTACACCAGTCTTTCTCAAGTGAGCGTTGAAGAACGAGAGGGGGCCGTTAAGGGGCCCAGAAAAAATGGGGGGGCGTTGGTGTGGTTTAGGGGGGGCGATGGTTGATTCGTAATTTCATTTAGATATTTTATATTTTAAAAGTTACGCAAATTAAAACCTACATACTACTCAATATCGAATAATTAGTTTTTATTTCTGCCTTTTATGATGTTGTATAAACTAGAAATACTTAACATAGATTTCCTAAGGTAGCCCGTACGCCGTACGCAAATACGTTTGTTCAATAACGCTATTGGTGCGATCCGGTAGCAATCGACCCGTTCATCGATAATTGCCTTAACTTGCTCAGTATGATTTGATTGAGCGTCGAAAGAGATAAACGAATTTATGCCTGTTTGTCTTATTCCTGTCGGTGCGTGCTGTATTTAAATCCTATATAACAGCTCGTAATAATTTTTCATAGAAAATTAAACAAATACATCTTTGCCTTTGTGCCTTCTTTGTTCAAAAACATTTTCAAACGAAGCGATGAAGCCTTCAAAACTTCAAGATCATTTGAATAAAATGCATCCGGATAACAACGACAAGAATGTAGCCTATTTTCAAGACCTGAAAAAGAATCATTATGATTCTTTTTCAGGTCTTGAAAATAGGCTCAGCCAAGTGTATCAAAACTTTTTTCGGTGGCTGCTAAGCAAGACGATGACGGACTTAGAGCTCTATACAATATCTCTTTGTTAATTGCTCAAACAGGTACACTACACAGGTAAACAAAACGTTAATTTTGCCCGCGATAAAGAAGTTATAACTACAGTGCTCCATAAACCGGCGGCAGACATAATTCGAAAAATTTTGGCTACAAAAGTCAATCCCGCAGTTGTACCCTGGATTGTGGTCGATCGTTCAACGGTTTTTGGAGCATTCCCATTCTCATATTTGTGTAAACGTGGACTTAGCACAGTGATAACGCTGCTTACTAAAAATGAAATGATTTGCATGTTACCTTGTTAAAAATCATCAAATTTATCCATTTGATTAGATTAGTTTTAAAACTAAAATTGATTACCTATTTATATTGTTTCTTTTAATTTGATGAAAATATATTCTTATAAAGTTGCGTTTTAATTGCCCTCACTGGTAATAATGTCTAGTTTAGAATATAAGTTGGTAACCGACTAATATAGCACACCATAACTAAATTAATTAAAGTAATAAAATTGTGGTTTATAAGTTTTAGGGGTGTATAAAAAAATTGGAATCGCTGAAAAATAGTGGATTTTCGAATGGGGCGGTAAAAGAAATAAGTTTGATAATCTCTGGTATACACTAACTTCTTAAATCTCATTTAATAATCATCCACCCGACCGAGTTTAACCAAGAAACCAATTCTTACCCTCGGGTATCCATCCAGATGCCACGCAGAGCACTCCACAAGTAAAATATCCGTACATCATTGGAAGCTTTCTTCCTATTCTGTTCATCAAATACATTGATATTAGCTCACCAGGGTACGACATTACTGTAGAAAGCATGAAATTCGTGTACTGATTCCCAGGCAAATACACCGAATTCACCATTAACCCATAGTAAACAAAGCTGGCAGTAAATCTACAGAAGGCTCCAATCAGTACGCGTTTCAAAATCTCTTTCGATTTCAATACATTGCTATAACCCTCCTCGAGTTCATAATTCTCTATCTTCAATTCTTTTTTAAGGCCTTCTGCGTTCATATTTGCTAAGTTTTGCTTGTTTATATTAATATTGTTGAGTTGGGCTATATGAAGAAGTGTACTTTTCGCATCTTCGGCTCGACCATTTAGTATTTGCCATCGTGGACTCTCTTTGAGAAGGAATATGTAGGTAATGAAGACGATAGGAGGGCTGTAAATGATTCGTATCAGGTTCTTCCAGTCAGGCACAAACATTGCTATGCAAGCGAAGAGTGATTCTCCCATGTAAACAGCGTACGCGAACAGCACTCCGGATAGGATTCTGTTCTTTTTACCGCCAATTTCGATCACTGAAATGAGCAAAATATAGCAAGGTTAAAAATTCTTTTACTTTACACTAATGTATAATAATACTTAAAACTCAACACTAATGACAAAGATAAAACAAAAATTAATACTTTAAAACCATGCAATTAAATGATGAACATCAAGACAGTTAAGGCGTACATAAATGTGTAGATTTTATTTATCTGTATCAAATCTTAGATAACCAGACATTCATCATATAAAAGTCCGCTGCTGAACATAGGCTACCCTAATAGTTTTTTTGGTTTAGCATCCTCAGTTTTATTGTATTTAGAGTTTTCATTAAACACTGCTATTATAAGCCAGTTTCCTTGTCAGATCACCTGCTTCAGTTTCCCAAATAGAATCTTACGACATCCAAAAGAAATTTCGTAGTGGATATTCGTAACAGAGATACTATTTTTATGTGTTTACTGATTAGCAACGAACTTAGAATGCTGATATCATAATTAATCGTGTCAAAGGATTACGCACTCGAGTTCATCGTTAAGGAGTGTTTATAAATACGGATCTACATCATCATTATTATTGTCCTGCATAAGTTCAATGGTGAACACAGGTCTCCCTCAAGGAATGCCACAAAGCACGGTACTGAGCCACGTTCATCTATCGATTTCTGTATATGATCATATATGGACATTACATGACCATTAATAACGATAGAACACATCAATAATTGAACACCTCCATGATACACTGCGAGCCTTGTAATAGTATAACGAATAAAAAATGGCTAAAGCATTTGTTAGACGTCCATCTAGGTAGGTACCATCCTCGTACCTATTTCTGCCAACAAATAGCATTACTTGCACTGCTGTGTTTCGGTCTGAGAGTTTAGAGAGTCAGTATAGTAGGTTGTGTGGCATTTCACTTAAGTCCTCAGGGGTGGCAAGGCATATATAGTCTTCTTTGTTTGAATTTGGCTGCAGGTGTTCATAAACTGCAGCAGCTATTTATCACCATGTGTACTGTACGTACGTCCGTCTTCTCAGTTTTATGAAAAAAAAATATAAAAATCTACGAAAGATCTTGGTACAGAGATTGTGTACAGAAAGTAATCGAAATAAAGAAAATTAGTAATAGCAAAAACTGCTTTCAGTTAAGTAGGTAATTTTAATAATATTTTTGTTACCTACTTAAAACCATGGCTGCCGTGTAAGAGCCTCCAGCTACCGCTGCTTCAAGCATTTCAATAAAGACGTACAAATAGTACGATGACGTGAAAGTCTTTAAATGTCCAATGCAACTTCCCACGGAGCAGATAATTAACGTTGGCTTACGGCCGAATCTGCAATAAGTTCTTCTAACGGATGAACAATTTCAAAACAATACTAGTAGATTTGTTAGCGACGAAATATGAATTTAATTACTTATTTAATTTGTTCTTATTGTAATCTAAAACTACGTTAAGAATGTTAGCAACGAAATGTGACTTTAATTACTTGATTAATTCTGTTTTCATTGTCATTTAAAACTACGCTAAGTATCTTAGTAACAAAATGTGACTTTAATTACTTGATTAATTCTGTTTTTATTGTAATTTAAAACTACGTTAAGATAGATAGCGACGATACGTGATTTTAATTACTTATTTAATTTCGTCTTCTGTTGTAACTTAGAACTGCGTTAAGATATACTTAGTAAAAAAAGATGTTTAAGTATTCTCTGCATAGTTTTTGGGATTAGCAAACATGATGTTGTTATCAGTATTGTGCATTCCTGCCGCCTGGCGGCGCTACGTGCGCTAACGCCTGCAAAAAGCTTAGCTACTAGGGAGCTATACCGTAAGAAGACCGCTTCAGTATTTTTATAATTTTAAGATATAAATTAAGGTTTTTTAAGAATGTTTAGTGTGTAATATGATAAATATAAATTCGTTCTAATACCAGAAATGTATAAAAACTTTATAAGGGATGTTTTACCACGAACAAAAGGCATTTGTAAGTTTTCCACATAAAAAGTCGCCCGCGCTCTGATTGGTTGACGGGAATCCTTTAGTGCCGTGTGCAAAATTTAAGAATTATGATTGGTCAGAGGCGCCTATAAAAAGAGGCATTTTTTGTGGTCAGACATTCCGAATCCGGCAAGTGTAAGAAATAACAACAACAAAATAAATAGAAGAAACTCTCAAGAAGTGTTATCATTACTCATCCCACTACTACTGCACTCTCTCCAGTCGACATCCCGCCAGCGAACCCGCTCCACTATTAACACACACAGACACGAGCGTCAACAAGATTATTGAATTCGCACGAAATGAATCTGTGCATATTCGATCGCTACTACAGCAAATGCCCAGAAGAATTTCTCTGTCCCTAATTTTACTCCTTAGCTTACCATATGTACGTGGTAGTGGTGTATATTTACGTAGTAGAGCCATCATCTCGACCGAAGAAGGACCATGCTCTCACAAAATATCAGCGTAAAATAGCAGCTGAATTTTGCCGTGTTTAGTATAGTGAAGGTAAAGAACTGGATACCCTTTTCACTAGAAACAAGGTATTCCATCTTAGACTTCAGGGTGTCAATGCAACTGAATTTTGATTCTTAGTCGATGATTGGTGTTTATGTCTATGAGCTACAGCTACCACTTACAATCAGGTAGACTGTGTGCTCGTTTGCCACCCTAATTATGTTAAAAATACTATTACTCTTTATGCGCTTATACCAATCATCAGCTTTTTGTATCAAGTTACGTTTCTCGCAGAAATTACTACGCAATCTTATGTCGGTTGTTTCAGCATTAAGGAAAATCAATTAAAACTATTTAGATACTTACCTATCTGTCAGCCAACCGGATGTTATACCGGCTAACAGCATTCCAACATTGTGAATGGTCCCAATTAAATTAGATTTCCATGGCTGACATGCGAGATTGAGCTGGAAGAACAATTATGTTGTGTTTTACCTTTTACGATTGTCAGTTTTTAATGTTACTATAAAGTAAAAAAAACATAAATGCTTCATCGTTCGCCATCAGTTGTGGGAGATCAGTTTAATCTTTTGCTTCCTTCCTTTGTAGCAGTAGATTTTTTCGGCTTTGTTCAGCGCAGTATAGCTGTAGCACAAATGAGTTTTGATCGGGAAAGGACCACGCTTGCACAAATTACTGTGTTTCTTATTATATTGTGTGTGTAAAGGGGAGTGAAGACCTTTTTTAGTAGTAATTATGTTCGCGACGGCCTAACAACCTTAAGAAACAAAGTGATAAAGAATATTGTTTTATGTATTAATAGTGAAATTACCAAGAAAACTGAGTGAAAACGTGTATTAATATAGTTATTTAGCATATTTATAACTCTCAATATGTTTGTATAGAATGTCGTTTTGATAACAAGTAATATAAACAACTTTTATTATATACCAAAAAAATCGACCAATCACAGCGCGTCTTATCGTGGAACTCTCTAGAAGTTTTTTAATTAACTGCGTAATAGTTTATACCAAAAATAATGAAAATAATTTTATGTTCTAAAAGAGTTATAAATATGACATTTAATTAGCATATGGCTTATAGATTAAAGAAGTATAGGAATATTTTTTTATAATTAAACGCATTTCGTAGTTATAGAAAAATTAAAGAATTAAAATGCCCAAATATTATGAAAATTTGGGACATTTCGTTTAATAACTTTTTTACAATGTTAATGTTTTTAATAACATTTATGATATACTAATAAAGTACCAGACTACCGATTTAATAATATATAGCATGTTAGTGTAGCAATTAATTTGTATAGAGAATATTGCAATTTATGCCATTTGTATAGTGATAAGTTTATGCAATAAAGAGGCAAAATGGAAAATGGCAAGCGGCTCACTGCAAAGTATTGCTCAAGTCTACCTTAGGGGCTCGGGACCCAGTACCAGTAGTAGTGTGAAGAACTACCAGTGACTAGTGAAGTGAAGTGAGTGGTATCCGGTGGTAGCTGAAGTGACTAGTAGCAGTATTTAGTGAATAGTGCAAGTGTTAGCTAACCTAAAAAGGTCGTAATTGACATTCGCAGTTACATAGTGAAAGTGTTAGCTAACCTAAAAAAGGTCGTAACTGACATTCGCAGTTACATAGTGAAAGTGTTACCTAGCCTAAAAAGGTCGTAACTGACATTCGCAGTTACATAGTGAAAGTGTTACCTAGCCTAAAAAAGGTCGTAACTGATATTCGCAGTTACATAGTGAAAGTGTTAGCTAGCCTAAAAAGATCGTAACTGATATTCGCAGTTACATATAGTGAAAGTGGTAACTGATATCCGCAGTTACACAAGTGATAAAATCAACTAGTTTAGTTGATAATAGCTGCTAGTCAGTAGTGTTAGAAAACCAGCTACTACCAATAGATATTTGATACCACCGTACAGTTTATAGAAATCTTTTGAAATATACAGTGACCAACCAATAGTGAACAATCGTAGTTTAACAACAGTGATCAATAAATAATAGTTATAAAATTTCGCGATTAATCATTCAGTCGAACCGCTGGCCACTACCTTGCTATTTGTATTTGTTAATCGTGCATTTTGATTTTAACTACAGTCCACAATATTTCAGCGGTACCAACAAAGACGGCGGTGAGAGTACCCACCGGAACCTATAGGTGTAGGACGTGAGCGACTCGCGAAGTATCTTCGACAACATTTACTCCGGAGAGTTTCGCCCGTCCGGCACATTCGTTGGTCCTTCGAGCCGGATATATCCGTTTGTATTTTGGAACCGGGTAAATAGTCACCACCTTATTAAAACCGCAGAATTTTCAGATTCAAGATGCCGATCACCCGTTCGCAAGGAAGGGCAGCCAAGGCGTGGACCGTCGGTCTGGAAGGAGGTTCGTCGGCCAGTAACGCCGCCGTCCACCAACAGATGCCACCACGCTCACCGTCAACGATAGAGGGCGCTGAGGCGCCATGCTGCCCCCCCCCGAGGGGGGGATACCCCTGCCCGCGCTGTCCACTACGGCCCGCACAACGAAGCAGAGGGAACATATAGAAGGCAACGATGACTTTAGACGTGCATCATCGCCATCAGCCCGGGAAGACACCCACTCCGAAGAGCCACCGAGGGGCCACACCGTTTGCAGTACGAAGTCTAAGAAGACTGTTCGGCCCAATAGAAGAATTTTGAAGGCTCGTGAAGAAGTATTGAAGATCAAACTAGAACTTGCGCAGATCTCCTTGCAGATGGCTGTGGAAGAGGACGAATCGGACGACTATGATGAAGATGGTCACTCCAAAAGTGAGTACGTTCGATCTTGGCTCGAAAACTCTGTAGCCAAACAAAAGTCAAATCAAGGTGCAATCACCGGAGGGAAGGCACCATTTAATAAAACCGTCACAAAGCCGACCCCGGACGTTGTCGACCTCAGTGAGCCCCAAAAGGAGCTCACGAACCAGGATTCCTATCCAGAAGATGCACAAAAGCATCCCATGCCACAGAAGCTCAGCCAGGAACCCACTGGTGATGAAGACAGGGGGCTCCTACCGATTGTATCAGAGCTCACAAACCAGGATTCCTATCCAGAAGATGTACAAAAGGATCCCAATCCAAAGAAACCTAGCCAGGAACCTGTCATAAGTGAAGACAGGGGGGCTCCGTCCGTTTATATCGGAGCTCACATCCGCTATAGCCGCGCTCGCTGACAAACCAAAGTTAGAGAGTGCGCCACTATCGTCGCATACTTTCGCAGCGTCGAAAGCTATAATGACACTGCCAAGCTTTAGCGGAGCACATACCGAATGGCTTTCATTCCGTGCCATTTACGAAACAACTCGAGGCTACTTCAATGACATAGAAAACACTGCTAGACTAAGACGAAGTCTACAAGAAAGAGCCTTGGAAACAGTCAGTTCAGAGCTCATCGGGCATGCTAAGCCAGATGAGATTATGCGAGAACTGGAGCTACAATTTGGGCGTCAGATTCAATCGCGAAAGCAAAAACCGAGAACTTACGAGGATTAGCACGCTGTACAGAATCACCTAGAGACATCTGCACATTCGCGAACAAAGTGAGGGGAAGCGTCGTCACTCTTAGAGCCCTAAAGCGAGATCATTACCTCGTCAACGCAGAGCTGCTACGACACCTCACCGACAAACTGCCAAACTCTATACGTGCCCAGTGGTATAGAATCTACACCGAAAAATATGACTCTAGACCAGACCTCGGCTGCTTCAGCGAGTTTATTACCGAGCAAGCTCGCTTCTGCAGTGCATTCGCGCCTCCAGAAATTATAAACGAAGCACAAAGCAATCGTTCAGTACATAGAGCACACGCGGCTACTACTAAGCCGTCTCCGAAATGCAGAGTGTGCGAAAAGGAGGGTCACTACGGATCTGAATGTAAAAAATTTAAGGAAGCAGATACCAACAAAAGATGGGAACTCGCAAAGCAAAATAATTTATGTTTCCGCTGTTTACGTTATCGAAATCAGACACACAAATGTAAAACCAATAAGTGTGGAATAAAAGGATGCATCGCGACACACAATCGACTTCTCCATAATAATACAAAGGAGAAGAATGAGGTCAAACAAAAAGAACCTCAAGAAACCGTAGCTAACTCATTCGCTGTGTCAAAGCATCAAGCCTATTTAAAAATAATTCCAGTGCGAGTAATTGGACCGGCGGGAGCTGTTAACACACACGCCCTGCTGGATGATGGGTCAACAGTTTCACTAATGGATGAAGAGATCGCCAAACAAATTGGAGCTACAGGGCGGTTGGACCCGTTTAAGATCACCGCTATCGGGAAGACTACCCTCGATTCACCGGAATCTCGAAGAATCAAAGTATCGCTGAAGAGTCTCCACAGTAAAAGGGTGCCATTCAGAGCACGCACGGTTGAAAGCCTAAACTTGGGGCCACAGACTGTGCGTGCAGTAGACATAGCCAAGTGCAAGCACTTGAAAGACATAAAGGAGCAGCTAACATATGACTCCGGCAACCCAAGGATCCTAATAGGACAGGATAATTGGAGACTTCTGATAGCCACTCAAATCCGGAGAGGTCCGCCGCACCAGCCAATTGCCTCGCTCACAGAATTAGGATGGGTGCTACACGGGGCACAAACTAAAGCCCCGTATCAGCGCGTCCACGCGGCCAATGAGCTGCACAAGAGCGAGGTTACTATAGATGACCAACTCCGCGAATATTTCGCGCTGGAATCTCTCATCATCAATCCGAGAAGACCAGACTCCGACCCAGAGAAGAAAGCTGAAGATATAATAAATAGCAGCACCCGTCAGTTACAAGACGGGCACATAGAAACAGCGCTTCTCTGGAAGAAAAAGGATATCGAGATGCCTGGCAATTATGAAACAGCAATAAAACGGCTCGTTTCCATTGAAAGAAAATTAGATCGAGACGAAGATCTAAAAAGAAAGTATGATGAACAAATGAATTCCCTAGTACAAAAAGGATACGCTGAGATAGCACCGAAAACACCGGGAAGAACATGGTACCTACCCCATTTCGACGTCCATAACCCAATGAAGCCAGAGAAGTTTCGAATAGTACACGATGCCGCAGCCAAAACAAAGGGGGTGTCATTGAACGACTTCCTGCTCACGGGTCCAGACCTACTGCAATCACTACCAGGGGTCATGATGCGTTTTCGCCGCCATAAAATCGCTGTCTCCGCGGACATAGCCGAAATGTTCATGCAGGTCAAAGTTAGACCCGAAGACAGAGATGCCTTAAGATATCTCTGGAGAGGGGATCGACGTAATGAAGCTCCCCAAGAATATAGAATGACGTCGATCATTTTCGGTGCAGCCCGTTCACCTTGCACAGCCATATTCGCGAAAAACTGGAACGCTAAAAAACACAAAGACAAGTATCCAGAAGCTGTAGAAGCTATCATTCAAAACCACTATATGGATGACTATCTCGACAGTTTCCAGTCTCTGGAAGAGGCAATGCGAATATCGAAGGAAGTACGCGACATACACAAAAACGCGCACTTCACCTTAAGAAAATGGGTTTCCAACGCACCAGAAATTGTAAAAGAATTAGAACCTGACCATGAAGCATCTGAGTCAGTCGAATCTGGGAAATCTGGGAAACAAAGAAACCGAGGAAAAGATACTCGGATTAATCTGGAAACCGGGTACCGATCAGCTGAGCTTCAACCTAAAGCTCGCCCGACGTCTTCCTATCAATTTGCTGCACAAAACACCAACCAAGCGGGAACGTCTCATACGATGCGTGAAGACGGCACTATACACCGTCCTTCATGAGAGACATCCGCATGAGGAAGTATTACCCACGCTGCTCTGCGAGGTGGAGTACACAGTAAATAGCAGACCATTGACTCACATCTCTGTAGACAGCGACGACGACGAATCCATCACTCCAAATCACTTCCTTTTAGGAGGATCTGCGAGACTGCCGACACCTGGAGTATTTGATGAAAAAGATATGAATAGCAAAAGACACTGGCGACGCTCCCAGATACTCGCTGACATGTTCTGGCAGCGTTGGGTCCGAGAGTATTTACCGGAACTTCAAAACCGGCGGGAGGCCCATGGGCGAGGTCCCAATCTCCAGGTGGGCGATCCAGTCCTCATAGCTGATGGCCAGTTACCTCTTAACACCTGGCCACGAGGGGGGGTGGAAGCTGTTTACCCCCGGTGCGGACGGACAGATCCGCACTGTGGAGGTACGCACAGCAAACGGCCTAATCAAGAGGCCAACCAGGAAACTCGTGCCGCTGCCGAAGTAGCAACGTCGCTCACCGAAATGGATGCAGCGCCGCTGTGAGAAAATCGTCGCGACGCTGCACGGCGGGAGAGATGTTCGCGACGGCCTAACAACCTTAAGAAACAAAGTGATAAAGAATATTGTTTTATGTATTAATAGTGAAATTACCAAGAAAACTGAGTGAAAACGTGTATTAATATAGTTATTTAGCATATTTATAACTCTCAATATGTTTGTATAGAATGTCGTTTTGATAACAAGTAATATAAACAACTTTTATTATACACCAAAAAATCGACCAATCACAGCGCGTCTTATCGTGGAACTCTCTAGAAGTTTTTTAATTAACTGCGTAATAGTTTATACCAAAAATAATGAAAATAATTTTATGTTCTAAAAGAGTTATAAATATGACATTTAATTAGCATATGGCTTATAGATTAAAGAAGTATAGGAATATTTTTTTATAATTAAACGCATTTCGTAGTTATAGAAAAATTAAAGAATTAAAATGCCCAAAAATTATGAATATTTGGGACATTTCGTTTAATAACTTTTTACAATGTTAATGTTTTTAATAACATTTATGATATACTAATAAAGTACCAGACTACCGATTTAATAATATATAGCATGTTAGTGTAGCAATTAATTTGTATAGAGAATATTGCAATTTATGCCATTTGTATAGTGATAAGTTTATGCAATAAAGAGGCAAAATGGAAAATGGCAAGCGGCTCACTGCAAAGTATTGCTCAAGTCTACCTTAGGGGCTCGGGACCCAGTACCAGTAGTAGTGTGAAGAACTACCAGTGACTAGTGAAGTGAAGTGAGTGGTATCCGGTGGTAGCTGAAGTGACTAGTAGCAGTATTTAGTGAATAGTGCAAGTGTTAGCTAACCTAAAAAGGTCGTAACTGACATTCGCAGTTACATAGTGAAAGTGTTAGCTAACCTAAAAAGGTCGTAACTGACATTCGCAGTTACATAGTGAAAGTGTTACCTAGCCTAAAAAGGTCGTAACTGACATTCGCAGTTACATAGTGAAAGTGTTACCTAGCCTAAAAAGGTCGTAACTGATATTCGCAGTTACATAGTGAAAGTGTTAGCTAGCCTAAAAAGATCGTAACTGATATTCGCAGTTACATATAGTGAAAGTGGTAACTGATATCCGCAGTTACACAAGTGATAAAATCAACTAGTTTAGTTGATAATAGCTGCTAGTCAGTAGTGTTAGAAAACCAGCTACTACCAATAGATATTTGATACCACCGTACAGTTTATAGAAATCTTTTGAAATATACAGTGACCAACCAATAGTGAACAATCGTAGTTTAACAACAGTGATCAATAAATAATAGTTATAAAATTTCGCGATTAATCATTCAGTCGAACCGCTGGCCACTACCTTGCTATTTGTATTTGTTAATCGTGCATTTTGATTTTAACTACAGTCCACAATATTTCAGCGGTACCAACAAAGACGGCGGTGAGAGTACCCACCGGAACCTATAGGTGTAGGACGTGAGCGACTCGCGAAGTATCTTCGACAACATTTACTCCGGAGAGTTTCGCCCGTCCGGCACAAATTAGATATTCCATTTCAGTCTTCAGGGTGTTAAAACATATCGGAGACGTTTTATACTGGTAATGAGGTTTTTCACGTCAATCTTCAAGGGTGATAATGCATCTGCATTTTGATTCTAATACGACGGTATAGATTTTGCGCCCAGCAACCCGCCTGCCCAGTTTTGAACATTTTTTTATAGAATAAGGATGACAAACGAGCATAAAGTCCACCTTATGGTAAGTGGATGCTGCAGCCCATAGCATCTACATTTATCCCTAATTAAGAGTATCCAGTTCTCTATACTCACCGTAGGAAACACACCAGCATTAAGTATTAAATCTAAATAACGTTTGTTAGCTGACTCATTTTTAGAATTACCTGTAATCATGAATACTTAAGTACTCTCTTTAAAGAGACCATTGATGATATATGTTGCATGTGGTGAAAGGAACTTACTGTAGCTATAACGGTGTTGTTAGTTTCGAACACCCAGTCAGCGCATTCTTCGACCGCATGTGTGAAACTTTCGTTGGTGCACTTTTGTCCAACTCCAAAATTCTCTTTTAGTTTTGGTCTTGTGCATCTGTCAATAGTGCTGCTGGGCCACCATGTGACGTTATAAACTGCGTATTGATTTTCACATTCAGGGATACGGCATCTAAAATCATTAAAGTAACTTATATCAACAAAGAACGGTAGATATAAAAAACGGTACTATTCTAAGTTACTAACGTAATAATACACTCGCGCAGACATCTACACTTCAAACCATGTTATTGGTTGTTATAGGCACGTACATATTGTTACGAGCTTCGGGTTCGTGACAATAGTAACTGCCGATTGAATTACCAAAATTAACACTTTAACTACCGAACACCAATTAAAACTTAAAAGACACTAATAATTAATCACCCTGATACACTTTATTTCGCTCCGAAGCTTAGTTTTTATCGCCAAATTGAATACTACCCTGATCGCGGCTTGCAGCGGCTGTAAATACTCCTTTTTCACCGAAACATCCAGAATGTTCCAGCAAATACCGGTCCCGACCGACTAAGTGCGGAAAGTTCGAGCGTGGACTCCTATTTCTGATACTTGATACCAGATGGCGCTAGTGGCATCAACTGTGATGCGCAACAATATGTATCTGTGAGTACAAATCGTATTTTTTTTATAGAATAAGGGTGACAAATGAGCACACAGTTCACCTAAATGTAAATGGATGCTGTGGTCCATAGACATCTACATTTATCCTCGATTAAAAATCAAAATGTAGAGGCGCTGTCACACTTGAGGACTAAAATGGAATGCCTCGTTTTAAGTTAAAAGTTCTGCAGTTATCTACACTTCGCCATCGAAACACAGCATTAGGCTGCCATTTTACGCATGTATTCTGTGAGGGAGCGTGGTCTTTCCTCGGTCGAGCCGACCTATTCGTGTTATAACTATAACATAGCTGTAGTATAGCTTTACTACGTCAAACGTGTTTTACAATAAGCTAATCATGATTTTCGCGTCACATATCTACGTAATGTTCTATCTATCTTTCAAACAAAGTCTGATTGACGTGGCTGATGATGAGAAAGCTTAAGTCGCTGAGCGAACTATGAATAGGGATTTTTCTGCATAATAAACTTAGAAATGAGGATATCCGCCGTTGATCCAGAGTAACCAACAAACCAACGGATTAATGAGCTGGAGTGGCAATGGGACGGCCATGTAGCTCGAAAAACCGACAATCCATAGGGAATATAGGTTCTTGAGTGGTTGCCTCGTACCGTTAAATAAAATGTGGGACAGCTCCCCACTTGATAAAATGATGACATGGTAATACATGCAGGAAATTGATGAATGCAGGTAGCTCAGAAACGTCATTTGAGGCATCCCTTGAGCCTATTTTCAGCAGTGAACTTATGAGGGCCTAGATTTCACGAAATTGTCACGAGAGCCAGTACAAGCATATTGACACTGCGCGGTCTGAGCTATTTTCCTAGGGTATTATATAGTGGAAAATCATCGTTCTTAAAGCGTACTGTTAAGCAGATAAATAATTTGCCGTCGTCTTTCCATCCAAATACAAAGTGGATTTCTTCAAGACAAGAATACGATTTTGTTGTGCTATACTCGTACATTTAACTTAGTTTTTTATTATATAAAAAAGTAAGTAAACTCAATTCTTTAGTTTCCGAAGAAAAGTTAAGTGTACGAAAAGTATTTTTGTTTTTTATTGCACTGCGCGCTTTTTTTTGCACGTGGGGCAAAATACTTGTCTATCACAGGGACAATAATAAAATCAGTGACATTCAATATCTTAGGAAACCGCAAACGGCACTCCACCCTGCGCTATCAACTCATATAAGTTTGTGAGATAACTATGCCCTTATATTCCCGCTCTGCAGAAACTTAATGTAGCGTAAAAATCTAAACTGCAGCAGTTGAGCTGTTGCTTTCACTTTCACCCACCCAAACATGAAGCGGCCGCCACCTGCAATTTGTTTCACCACGATTATAGGACGTAGGTTCCTGTAGTATTATGACGAACCTTTTCTGCCTTGACTTGCTTGGATTCTAAGTAAAAGGTACTCTTAACATCTTGGCTACAGAGTCAGCCATTTTTCTGCCCGTCGCACCCGGCACCTTCAATTTGCGGGCTCCGGTAGCCACCTGCCGGTACCTTAGCGAAGAGATATAGATGCTAGAGAAATCGATTTTGACTTTTGCGTCCACCAACACTTTTGCATAGGTAGCCGCTCTGTTCTCAGCCCCAGGGCTTTAATTTCGGAAGTGAGGATCGGTTTTCTGAATAGTTCGTGTCCTTAAACCAAGCAGCAGATTGGAAACTTCCTTACGCTTCTTTTTGCCTCCCTTTAGCACTTTCAACCAACCTTCAAAGGTACTCTTAACATCTTGGCTACAGAGTCAGCCATTTTTCAGCCCATTGCACCCGGTACCTTCAATTTGCTGGCTCCGGTAGCCACCTGCCGGTACCTTAGCAAAAAGATATCGATGCAAGAGAAATCGATTTCGACTTTTGCTTCCACCAACACTTTGCATAGGTAGCCGCTCTGTTCTCAGCCCCAGGGCTTTAATTTCGGAAGTGAGGATCGGTTTGCTGAATTGTTCGTGTCCTTATTCCAAGCAGCAGGTTGGAAACTTTCGTATGCTTCTTTTTGCCTCCCATTAGCACTGTCAACCAACCTTCATTTGTTGATTCAGACGCAAGTGGAAGTGAGTGAGATTCTTCTTGGTTGAATATATTTATCGTGACTCCCTTTGTTCCTTTCTTTTTAATTGCGTTCTGTACTGATACTGTCACGTCTGTAATTACTGTTACTGCTGCTGATTAGCAGTCAGTGAAGGCCGTATGCAATTTTCAGGAAGAAGCCATTATTTAATTGCTTCAAGGCGTGCGTTAACCATGCTGAGAACTTGGTGCATGAGAGCACTTGTCAATTCCTGTAAATGTACTTGAGCTAGTAATATTACGGACTCTTCAGTGTGACCAGCGACCCTGCCTCTACTAGATGGAGGATGAAGTTCCTTTTAGGCTCGTGCTACCTCTACTTGAAACTCCATTAATTCTTTATAATGTCTATCGATTTCTCATTGCAGGTGGAGAGAATTTCAAGTCTTTTAGTTATTAATCAATCGTATGGCCTTTATTTACAAATCAAATATAAAAATATACTTCAACTTACCTATAATTGAGGTCTCCAGCAACAAATACATAATTTATGTGAATCATTGTGATGAATATCGCCGAGATACAAGCGTAAAAATACTGGACCTTTTGGTATTTACCAAATTTCTCCATCGTTTCGATAATTTCTATTTCATCCTTTTTACTACTTTCAAAGTTATCAGCACCCATGTTCAATGATTTATGTAGAATAAAAAATAAATCAACTTCCTTTTATGTTGCAAAGTTAAGCGAGGAACCACTTTCTTTTTCGTTTTTTCTAATTTTTGTACTGGTCACATACAACACAAAAAAAAAATTATTATTATTTTATTTTGCATTACATCCGATTTACATGATGTTTTGTTGCACTAAACAATACTCTTGTGTCGCGATTGTGGCAATAAAAATATAAACCTAGTGGATTGTTTAACTTTTATCTCTAAATGCCACAATAAATGTTAAATCAACTCATAGAATATTATAGTACGTAATTAATGGAAATTATTAAGACTTTTATCTGCTGGCTTATATAAAAATAGATGATGATAAAACGAACGATGTTTGCTTTAGAGAGATAGGAAAGCAAAAATAAAACAAGTCAGATTTTTCTATCCATCCATTACAGCCTATAAAAGTCTACGGCTGAACATAAACCTCTCCCATAGATTGCCTCATAGGGATTATTCAGCTATAGTAACCATGGCTGGTAGGCGGGAGCTTATTTAATATTTTGAATCTGCAGTATATCTCCTGTTACAGTTACACTCTGTTGCCCCTCACGACACCCAGAGGTCGATATAGGATAGTGGATATTCTCACACCGCCACGACACGGTAATGCTGTAACAATTTTATTAATATACAATTGTCTGATTTTCTCCTTCTCGCTCTTTCTTTATCATACTGTAAAACCCCACTGAATGGATATGTACCTCTAAAATTTTTGGAAGGTTTTGTCTTTGGTCGAACGACAAGTGGACAAGTGGAACTACGGGGAGCTACGAATGCGGTCTTTTGTATTTTTCAACTTTCAATTTTATTCCCAATATAGATGAAAGACACAATAAATTTTATTGTGGTGAAAAAGAAATGATCGAAATTCCTGAAGGGTTTTACGAGCTTCAAGATATTTGTTATTATCTAAAAAATAATATTAAGAACACTGAACTCAAACTAATTTGTAACAATAATACAGTGAAAACAAATATTTTTTGCTCTGAAGATGTTATCTTTAATAGAAGCGTATCACTGGGTAATTTTTTAGGCTTTGGTATAGAAACAATAAAAGCAAACATAAGTATCTACTGAAATAAAATATACTGTCAGCATTTTATCGACAACCATCGTGCGGATTGAATGTGATGTAGTTAGTGGTTCATTTGTCAACGGGAAAGCATGCCATATAATTTATGAATTTGCACCTAATGTACCACCTGGCTACCGAATAACTGAAATACCTAGAAACTTAATTTATTATCCCGTTAACCAAAGTTTCATAAGTGCTCTCAATATAAAGCTGTTGAACGCTTAGAATAAAGAGATAAATTTACGAGGTGAAGAAGTACAACTGTATTTCTATTTCCGAAAAAAATATATTATAAGTTTCAGTAAAAGCCCGCCTATGTCGTGTATCCAAGCTAGTTTTAAAAGAACATATCTTAAAGGCACACCCCTTCAGCTGTAAAAGAAGCTTACCAAAACTAAAATAATTTCTTAGAATAGTTGGCTTGATAAAATGAATATTTTAAAGGTATCTCAACAAATATCAAACGATAACAGCATTGAAAGTTTTGAGTATCATTCTAATAAACCACATGTAACTAGTTTTAACAAGAATGACAAAATACGTACTCAGTAAGACCTTTACGTGCTACTTTTACTCAGTAGTTTATATATCGGGGGAAAAGTGAACGTTTACAACAGCACCACGAAAGAAAAAGGTGTCAAACGTACATTTCATTAATAATCCAGTGCTATTTCTTTTACAAGACGTACGATATTAACTTAAAGGAGTAGAAATAGATAAAATTAAAAATGCTGGTGTCACTACTGAAAAAAATTATAATTAATTATAAACACGAGTTAGTATTATTACGAAATCAAGTTAAATACCTAGTTTTCCTCCGTGACAATTGTTGGAGTCTTTTTAAAATTACTTAATCGGAGAGCTCATGGTTGTATGCACTACCCAAGGGACATATTTACCCTGAAAAGTTTATGTACCAATAAAATTAATTAAATATTATGAAAATGTAATATAATACCCAAATAAATGGGGGCACATATATATAAAGTAATGGTGTGATAAATATCATGAAGTAAAATATAAATGAAGGTAATTAATATTCCGAATCCCTGTACCTAAGTATAATAATGTGGCCGTGGAAGGAAAAGGGAGATCTCCCGCCGAGCAAGGTGTTATGCCCGGGGAGCGGCCAACGCTCTATGTGATAGTTCGGAGATGTTCTATATATACTGTTTATGATTCGGAATGTTGTGTATTTCGCTTGCGGTGCGACGACAGCGCCGCTAAATCACCCCCCTGCTCAGAATGGAGGTCGATAGTGCAGCCTCGTTGCCGACGAATGTGCAAGTGCCAGGAGATTGCCTTGTAGTCTGCGGTGAGTCGAGAAGAAGGCAAGTAATCTGCGAGAGTGCAGTGAAGCAGAGGCGAGCAGTAAGGCTCAGAGCCGTGCCGAACACTGTATAGCGCAGAGAGTAGCTTGAAGGAACAGGAAGCATTATTATTCCAGTGCTGCGATGAACCTTGTTAAGCTAGATGGCTTGCAAGATATGAAAGACTGCAGACGATATCTGCTCGGGAGCGAATGGGTGGGGTACTCCATGACGATGATGAAGCTTGAAGTTTCCGAAGGTTGTTGGTTGCGTGTTCAGATCACGTTGAGTGGTCACCACTGTGGCCGTGGAAGGAAAAGGGAGATCTCCCGCCCTGCAAGGTGTTATGCCCCGGCAGCGGCCAACGCTCCATGTGATAGTTCGGAGATGTTCTATATATACTGTTTATGATTCGGAATGTTGATAGCGTGATTTAGGCTTCGGTGTATTTCACTTGCGGCGCGACGACAGCGCCGCTACAATAAAATATGCAGAAAGATTGTTAAACAGGATGAATAAAATGCGGTCATGACATTGGTGTTTGTGATGTTAACGTACCGCTGTCGGAAATATTAAGTGTGGGGTTATACGAAAAGCTTTAGAATAGCATAGAATTAAATTTTATTCAATATAGTACTATGACTAACAAAAATGAAAATATTCACTTTTGCAAGTAACGTATAACTGCCGAAATAAGTCGTGAGCACACTTTTTATTGGTCGATACGACGTTGACCACGCTGACATTCAACGTGATTGGTTCATTAGTCAATTCTCGTCGTCTATTGGTTTCGAACGTATCATTCAGCTTCCGTACACTTCAGAGCAATAATTTTAATGATAACTTTTTTAATAAGTTTATTTTCATCAATTGTTTTTGTCAACTCGTTATTAATTGTTGTTTGTGTATTCCTTGTTATTAATTGTTTTTGTTATTTCTTGTTTTTAATTATTTTTGTTGTTATAATTTGAGTATTCAGATTTTGGTCTAAATATGCAGAGAAGGAAGAATTCGGTGTTAAAAAGACAATCCCGACAAATTTTCTGTTCAGTGTTTAGTTACATGAAAAAAATAGGTACTGCGAAAAACATCATAGACGTATATAAACAGACTGCTGAGGCGACTAATGTCTCAGTAGCTACTGTACGGCGTACCGCAACACCAGATTTTATGGAAGGCATATCACCTCTTCCTTCTTCTTAATAAAATAATCAATTCTAACCACCAGGTATACATTAAATACTTTATAGTAGATAATAAAATAACGGACACGAATATCTGCAACATTACTGTATCAAAGTAAAAGTTGATGTGTTCGAGTAAACATTTTCATAAAAGTCGCCGAAAATATTAAATTACGAATTGAAATAATAGAGGTATCCAATAATTTTGCCCGACAGTATACCTACCTCCCACCACAGTTTATCTGTGCTCACCACTCGTGTCGGCAACTATACGCATAGGGTGTATTGCGGCGTCTGGCGCTAGGTTTGACCTTATAACCAAAATAATTAAAATTAAGTTACAAAACAAACTTTGACGGAGTTTTTGTCGCGTTATAGTAGACGTCGCTCAATATTCCCGAAATATGAGTGCTAGATTTTTTTTAAATTAGTTGAAGATACTGGATCGATATCGATCAAGCGTCTCTATTTTATTTTAAGAACTGTATTCAAATCATTCATTACATACAATGCAGCATAATAAAATTAGATCAATCTTAGATTTTTTCACTGCAAGCTAGTTTTGATATAATGAACTAGATTAAAGTTAGTACTAATTAAGAAATAAGGGAAAATCAATAAAAAGTAGAAAAATAAAAGTTTAAGTATTTTTGTGTTGTTTTTCCTACGTGACAAACCAACATAACCAAAAGAGGGAAAGTGATTGCCTCAATTAACTTGGCAAGTTAAAATGTTGTGATTTCATTTTTATTTTACAAAAGATCATTAACGGTGGGTGCTAAAAATGTTGGGTCAAATCAAAAGGATGTAATAGAAATTATTGAAATAATGGAGAAATTTGGTGAATATCCAAAGTTCCAGTATTTTTACGCTTGTCATGTGGCGATCTTCATGACAATGATCAACATAAACTATGTATTCCTTGCTGGGGACCTCAACTATCGGTATGTACCAGTATAATTATTATAATATATTTGTTTTGCATAAGAGAGCCATAAATCTATTCATAACCAAAACTGTAAAGATTGTCTCAGTCTTAAATTTATATATACTGGATGATTTCTTTACCGTTTGGAAAAAAATTGTGTGTAGCGACATTGGTGCAATGAATATGAAATTGATCTATCAATAAATACTACAAATTTATTTATTTGTATATATATATATATATATATATATATATATATATATATAGTGTGTCCGGTCACGGACTAGCGATAAGCTTTGTTAAATGACAACTGGCACTGCCTGCCTAGGAGTAATAGTAATCTGAGATTACTTATGATCTTCGATGAATTAGAAATGATGAATTAGAAATCAGAGAATCAGAATCATCATTTATAAGTAGTATAATTTAAGAGCAGGCAGCACAGAACACTATTACTCCTAG